GAAAAATGCGGAATTTATTTGAATTTGCCTTTGAATTTTGTTGGTGTCCGGAGGCAAAGAATATTATAGTTTTAAGAACTCTCGTGTGGAAGCTTTAGTGATTTGTCATACGGTGGCGCTTTTGAACATAATCGAAGCCTGAAAATGCTAATATTTTAAATTTTGAGGACTACGCGCGGCGATATTTCGTACGGTGTTGCCAAACATATTTTATTTCTCGATATTTAAAGAAATATGTATTGATTATATATTTCGTATATTCGATAGTACATGAGGCATCCTAAGGCTATGAAAAAAAAACGTAGCTATGAAAATAAAATTTTAGATTTTTAATTATTTTTATTTGTACAAAAGGTTAAAATCGGTTTTAGAAGTATGAATTTTGCAGACGTTCCTTATGTAACGTAATTTAGCATTAAGAAGCAATTTTTGGAAATTCGCCCTCTAAGGGTGTGAAATGAGGGGTTGAACGTTCTGGAACAATAAATTCTGTTCAAGGAATAAGAGAATTTGCACAGAGGTTCCTTATGTAGCGTAATTGAATAATTAGAGTGATTTTTGGAATTCATTCCTTAAGGGGGTAAAACTAGGGGTGAAAATTTGTATAATTTTTTATGTAAAATCCGTTCTAGGACTAGGAGTATGAAATTCTGTTCAGAGGTCCCTTAAATGATGAAAGTGAGTACGTAAAAAATAAGGGATGAAAATTTGTACAAAAATTTGTTAAAATCGGTTTTAGAAGTATGAATTTTGCAGACGTTCCTTATGTAACGTAATTTAGCACTAAGAAGCAATTTTTGGAAATTCGCCCTCTAAGGGTGTGAAATGAGGGGTTGAACGTTCTGGAACAATAAATTCTGTTCAAGGAATATGAGAATTTGCACAGAGGTTCTTTATGTAGCGTAATTGAATAATTAGAGTGATTTTTGGAATTCATTCCTTAAGGGGGTAAAACTAGGGGTGAAAATTTGTATAATTTTTTATGTAAAATCCGTTCTAGGACTAGGAGTATGAAATTCTGTTCAGAGGTCCCTTAAATGATGAAAGTGAGTACCTAGAAACGAATTTTAGGCATGCATCCCCTAAAAAATAAGGGATGAAAATTTGTACAAAAATTTGTTAAAATCGGTTGTAGAAGTATGAATTTTGCAGACGTTCCTTATGTAACGTAATTTAGCACTAAGAAGCAATTTTTGGAAATTCGCCCTCTAAGGGTGTGAAATGAAGGGTTGAACGTTCTGGAACAATAAATTCTGTTCAAGGAATCTGAGAATTTGCACAGAGGTTCCTTATGTAGCGTAATTGAATAATTAGAGTGATTTTTGGAATTCATTCCTTAAGGGGGTAAAACTAGGGGTGAAAATTTGTATAATTTTTTATGTAAAATCCGTTCTAGGACTAGTAGGAGTATGAAATTCTGTTCAGAGGTCCCTTAAATGATGAAAGTGAGTACCTAGAAGCGAATTTTAGGCATGCATCCCCTAAAAAATAAGGGATGAAAATTTGTACAAAAATTTGTTAAAATCGGTTTTATATGATGATTAATATGATGATGATTATATATGATGATTTGCACAGAGGTTTATTATGTAGCGTAATTGAATAATTAAAGCGATTTTTGGAATTCATTCCTTAAGGGGGTAAAACTAAGGGTAAAAATTTGTATAATTTTTATGTAAAATCCGTTCTAGGACTAGGAGTATGCAATTTTGTACAGAGGTTCCTTAAGTGATGAAAGTGTGTACCCAGAAGAAAATTTTGGACATGCACCCCCTAAAAAATAAGCACTCCCTATAAAACAATTAAAATAAAATATTTGTCTAAAAAATAAAAAAAAAGTTGGGGTGGGCCACTCTTATCACTTAGGGGTATAAAAAATAGATAACAACCTAGGAATAGGTTGTGACCAAACCAAACCAAACCAGACCTACTGAATATACATATAAAATTTTATCAAAATCGGTCTAGCCGTTTCGGAGATGGTAACAAAAAATTAAAAAAAAACAACCCCTATTAAAATATAGGGGATGATGGTGGAGCGGTGAAAATTTAGGGTTATTTGTATTTATTAATGCCAACTAAAAAAATTAAAACATTTTTTCTTTTCAAAAAATAAAAAATGAGGGTGGGCTACCCTTACCACATAAGGGTATAAAAAATAGATAACAACCTATTCTTAGACGTACTGAATATACATATAAAATTTCATCAAAATCGGCAAAACCGTTTCGGAAATGGTAACAAGAAATTAAAAAAAAACAACCCCTATCAAAAAATAGGGGATGATGGTAGAACGGTGAAAATTTAGAGTTGTTTGTATTTTTTTAAGGCCAAATAAAAAAATATTTTTTTTTCAAAACTAAAAAAAAATGAGGGTAGGCTACCCTCTCGGCTACCCTTATCACTTAAGGGTATAATAATAGATAACAACCTATTCTTAGACGTACTGAATATACATACATATAAAATTTTATCAAAATCGGTCAATCGGAGATGGTAACAAAAAACTTAAAAAAAACAACCCCTATTAAAAAATAGGGGATGATGGTAGAACGGTGAAAATTTAGGGTTGTTTGTATTTTTTAATGCCAAATAAAAAAAATTAAAATAATTTTTTTTTCAAAAAATAAAAAAATGGGGGTGGGCTACCCTCTCGGCTACCCTTATCACTTAAGAGTATAAGAATAGATAACAACCTATTCTTAGACGTACTGAATATACATATAAAATTTTATCAAAATCGGTTAAGCCGTTTCGGAGATGGTAACAAAAAATCTTAAAAAACAACCCCTGTTAAAAAATAGGGGATGATGGTAGAACGGTAAAAATTTAGGGTTGTTTGTATTTTTTAATGCCAAATAAAAAAAATTTAAAATATTTTTTTTTTTTTTTTTTTTTCAAAAAATAAAAATGGGGTGGGCTACCCTTACCACTTAAGGGTATAAAACAGATAACAACGTATTCTCAGACCTACTGAATATACATATCAAATTTCATCAAAATCGATCAAGCCGTTTCGGAGATGGTAACAAAAAATTAAAAAAAAAAACATCCCCTATTTAAAAATAGGGGATGATGGTAGAACGGTGAAAACTTAGGGTTGTTTGTATTTTTTAATGCCAAATAAAAAAATAAAAATATTTTTTTTAAAATAAAAAAAATGGGGGTGGGCTACCCTTATCACTTAAGGGTATAAAAAATATATAACAACCTGTTTTCAGACCTACTCAATATACTTATAAAATTTCATCAAAATCGGCTAAGCCGTTTCGGAGATGGCAACAAAAAAAATTAAAAACAACCCCTATTAAAAATAGGGGATGATGGTAGAACGGTGAAAATTTAGGGTTGTTTGTATTTTTTAATGCCAAATAAAAAAAAATTAAAATATTTTTTTTTCAAAAAATAAAAAAATGGGGGTGGGCTACCCTTACCACTTAAGGGTATAAAAAATAGACAACAAACTATTTTCAGACCTACTCAATATACATAATAAAATGTCATCAAAATCGGCCAAGCCGTTTCGGAGATGGTATCAAAAAACAACAACCCTATTAGAAAATAGGGGATGATGGTAGAACGGTAAAAATTTAGAGTTGTTTGTATTTTTAAGGCCAAATAAAAAAAATTATTTTTTTTTCCAAAAATAAAAAAATGAGGGTGGGCTACCCTCTCGGCTACCCTTATCACTTAAGGGTATAAGAATAGATAACAACCTATTCTTAGACGTACTGAATATACAAAAATTTTTTTATCAAAATCGGTTAAGCCGTTTCGGAGATGGTAACAAAAAATCTTAAAAAACAACCCCTGTTAAAAAATAGGGGATGATGGTAGAACGGTGAAAACTTAGGGTTGTTTGTATTTTTTAATGCCAAATAAAAAAAATAAAAATATTTTTTTTTTAAAATAAAAAAAATGGGGGTGGGCTACCCTTATCACTTAAGAGTATAAAAAATATATAACAACCTGTTTTCAGACCTACTCAATATACTTATAAAATTTCATCAAAATCGGCTAAGCCGTTTCGGAGATGGCAACTAAAAAAAATAAAAAAACAACCCCTATTAAAAATAGGGGATGATAGCAGAACGGTGAAAATTTAGGGTTGTTTGTATTTCTTAATGCCAAATAAAAAATAAAAACATTTTTTTCTTTTCAAAAACTAAAAAAATTAGGTGGGTTACCCTCTCGGCTACCCTTATCAGTTAAGGGATAAAAATAGATAACAACTTATTCTTAGACGTACTGAATATACATATAAAATTTTATCAAAATCGGTTAAGCCGTTTCGGAGATGGTAACAAAAAATTAAAAAAACAACCCCTATTAAAAAATAGGGGATGAAAGTAGAACGGTGAAAATTTAGTGTTGTTTGTATTTTTTAATGCCAAATAAAAAAAAATTAAAATATTGTTTTTTCACAAAATAAAAAAATGGGGGTGGACTACCCTTATCATTTAAGGGTATAAAAAATATATAACTACCTATTCTCAGACCTACTGAATATACATATAAAATTTCATCAAAATCGGTTAAGCCGTTTCGGAGGAGTACGGTAACCAAAACTGTAACACGGTAATTATATAAGATAATATTATATGTAAACTGGCGGAGTGCGGAGAACGGAAAGACTGATTATAGCAATAGATAAAATTTAAAACTATAATTTAAAACTATTCAAGAAAGTACACACAAAACAAGGCAACGCCGCGCGTCTATTCGTTCAATTCCGAGCAAAATAGCGAGGCTCCACGAAGTTGGGGCCTCGCTCGCCAAAGCGAGGCCCCATCGACAGGTCAGATTTTGATGCCAGACGAGACTTCTAGGGTATTAAGATATTCTTTGCCGGAGGGACCAAACTACTGGAAAGTCCGAATTAGAGAAATTCTACTGTATTATCTCTGATTGGTTTTAAAAAATATGATAACCGACATTCAAAGTAATGGTCCTTAATCTTTTACCTCACCAAAAACACACTAGGTACCAAAGTATCTCACCTTTCCACCGTGTCCAGCCCCTCGGCCGCGCTCTCCTCCTGCTGCAGCTCCTGCCTCAGCTCGTCCGCCCACCCGGCCAGCTCCTTCTCCCTCGTGTAGAAGAGGACGGCCAGGTCCAGCCTGCGCCTGCGCTGCTCGACGCGCGCCGCGAAACTGGCCACGTGCGCCTCCAGCTCCCTCGCCACGCCGTAGATGTCGTCGGGGTCGCACTCGCCGGTGTGGGCCAGCTCCTCGGCGGCCGCAAGAAGCTTGTCGGCGTTCGTGTAGGTGTTCTGCAAAGAAGAGGAAGGAAATTTTAGTTTAAGTCCATAATAATACAATTATTATATCTTAAGATTTATAAAACATTAAAGTGAACTAATACGAAGATTCGACCGCATGTTAACATATATCAAATGTCAAAATTAAGTGTTATCTTTAGTTGAAAAATGGAATTAAGCCGAGAAAATTTTCGCGCAATAATTTTTTACAATTTTCGAAGACAGTTGTCTCAAGAAGAATGCCTCGTCGAGTTGGTTTCTGATTTTGGCAATGAAGCACTACATCAGTCGACAATTTCTCGTTGGTATGGAGTATTAAAACGTAGGCGGATTAGTCTTAGCGACGATCCAAGAACAGGTCCACCATCAACGGCAGTCACCCAGGGAAACGTCGGTGCCGATCCAAGTAGTACCGTGCACTAAAACTCTGGATAAGGGAAAAACAGAAAGTCCATTAGAGAAACAGACCGAGGTACAGGCACAGCAAGGCTTTTATCCAAGGACCTAGCTCTAAAACCGCAAAAGAACTGCTAATGCTTAGCAGGAATAAAGTGCGGATTACAACAGGCCTCTTGACAGGACACATGGCTGTCAAGTGTTACCTGAACAAACTCAACCTTTATCAAGGAAGTATTTGCTGCAGACTCTGCGATGAAGATCCTGAAACAGCGGTGCACATAATATGTCATTGCGAGGTTCTGGATCGCAAGCGACACTTTTTATTTGGGAAAGCTAGGCTAGAACCGGAGGAACTATGCTCCCATCCTATCAAGGACCTGCATAAGTTAGTGCAGGGCACAGGAATAGGAGAATGGGTGCAGATATAGAAAGGGGACAAACACAATAGGCCTCACAGGTCGCAGTGTTCCCGGCAGAGGACGGCCCCTTGTTATGAAAAAAAAAGCTGATCCAAGAAGATCGACATATCACATATCGTGAAACTGGAGCATCAATGGGCTTTTCAAAAACCTTGATTAAAAAAAATTACGTGAAGATCTGTTGACGGAAAAACAGAAAGCAATTAAAGTCAATTGGTGCCAAAAAATTCTACACCGGTTTAAAACAGGAAACGAATGATTCCTGGATTTAGTCTTAAAACCTGAAAATAAACGTCAAAAACGTCAGAAAGTTATCCGTCCTCGAATTGTTTCAAAAAAATGGTGGCGATATTTATCTCAAAAGTAGGTCATATAGCAACAATTCCTCTGCAAGATCAAAGAATTGTTACTGCTGATTGGAACATATCTATTTATTTGGCGTAACTGAAGTAACTGCTGAGAATTGATTCGAAAAATCAACCCTCAACGATGAATGATCCTCCACCAGGACAATGCAAGTTCCTACACAGCTCAAATAACAATTGAATTTTTAAAACAAGAAAACATCGTGTTGTTGAACCATCCCCCATACAGTCCCGACCTAAGTCGTAAAAACTTTTTTACTATTCCAAAAATTAAGAACGCCTTGCAACGAAATGCAGTCAGCGCCTTCCAAAACGCAATTTTGAAGGTACCAACAAACAAGTGGAATATCGACTTACAGAACTGGTCCAAACGGATGCAAAAACACATTTCCCTTCGTGGAGAAGGGATTCGTGCATTCTTTATCTGGAACAAAAAATGACGCCAAGAAAATAAAGTCTTCCTACTCTGGGTTCCAACCCACCAAGGGATTGAAGACAATGAAAAAGCAAAAGATCCACCTAGAACAGAGGTGAACACTATACTAACCGTTCTGCTTCCCAAGTGGAAACCCAACTTAAACCAGAACTCAAGAACTTGGAAGACTTCATCCGTAACCGTAATGTAATTGGGACCGTTGTTGGAGGATTCCAACAGTCTCAAGATACCCCAAGATATTAGGACTTTTTTTAGGAAGATTTTTTCTTGATTTGAGTAGGAAAAATCTTCGGATTGTCACGGAGTTTTTAACAGGACACTGTCTCCTCAGAACGGGAAATGCGGATTCTGTGGGGAAAATGGGGAAACACCAGAACACTTCATCACTGAATGCGACGAGAAGACAATCATTCGTGTCATAAATTTTGGTACGACTGATATCGGATATGGAGAACTAACCTCGGTAAAACCGTCTCAGGTACTGGCTTTTACCAAAGCCCCGAGACTGTATGATGAATTATAACTCAAGAAAGGGGGACATAATATATCTATAAGGTTGCCGGTGATTAGCTTCCCCCCTCCTATATAATCTACAATCTCTGGGACACCGCCGTGTATAAAATCATTATAAAGGCTATCTATATGCACTGTGGCATCATTTTCATTCAATCACATATTGGTATTCTGACAAAACACCAATAATGGGTACAAACGAAAGCTAACAAGTACTCTCCACGTTTTTTTTTCTATGTTGTTTATAATACATAATAATAACAATTTGTTGTCTATTAAAGAGTAAAAGTAATCTAAAATAATGTTTGTTCGTTAGAAGGAAAAAAATCGATACAAGGTTCGCGGTTCCTTTTTAGCGGCCGAAGCGCATGGAAAAAATCTACCGAATCATTGACGGACAAAACAATACGCACAATCAGTTCCTTCGTATCTGTTTTTCTCTATGAGAACGCGAAGCGCGATGTTGTTGACCCTGCGGCAGATTAGCGGGTACAAAAAGCTCTAATCAGCGCCGTACCACATTAATAATTTTGTAATTGTTCTCGCCGACTGACTGACTGAAGAAAAATCGGCGTTGTTACTTGTAAAACACGCGTTTCCACGGTTTCAGTCGTTATCGCTGTATCGCGATAATAAATAGAAGGCTTGTCAAAGTTAAACATGCAACTAAATATTTGATTTATTGTTAATAGGAAAATGTACATATTTTTGCAATAATTCATTTGTTTCAATATACAGGATATCGCAAGCGAGATGGGTGTAAGAACTGAATACGATAAATAATAGGTTTGTTCCAACATAGAAATTTGTACCGTTTTAGAACGGTAATTAGGATCGCCGACATGGGATTTGTACGCATGTCTCGCCTCAGAAAGATCTGTTAAATAGCCTCTACACTATGCGGAGAACCCTTCGAACCAGGTCTATAGTGTGACCAACGGATCTGTAGCTACAGGGTATCGGCAGGGGAACGCAGTTGTAAACAAAACACGCCCAATTTCATTCATAAAATAGGCATGGGCGTACGGTGTTATATGAAAATAATGTGTATCATAAATATAATACTCAGATTAATAATTTTTTTCAAAAAACTTTATGCTGTTTGAATCGTTACTGTTGAGTTAGCAGATAAACACTAAAAGCTTTTATTAAAGCTCCCTTAAATATTTTGAATCATTTTATTATTGTGTTGTTAATATAATAGAAGAAATAATTACAGCTGGGGGTTGGAACCTTTGGTGTTACACAGCAAAATAAAACACTAAATCAGTACAATACACCAAAACACTTTTAATTTTACACAGCAGATGATCAAGACTGAGTCTTGAGGTATATTTATTTATATCTGTACTAACTATATTTTTTTCTATAATACATAATTTTAGATATAACTATTTCCAGCAAAAAAAAATCTTGAAAATAGTTAACTTTGGAAGCGCAAACAAAACATAATTTTACTCACCAGTAGATCCAATATTGCCTATTACACCAGATATGGTATCGCTCCGCCAGCAGTTTTTAAAGGTTAGGTCATTGTCTACCCATATGTTACATCCAAATAGATAATACTTGGCTATATTTTCGAATTTCGCGTATATATATTTATATCTCTCTCTGCAATATAATGGGCCGCTCCATTAATATTTATCTGTTATTTTAACATTTACGCCAAAAAAATTCATTTGATTTTAATAACCCCCTAAGCGTTTCCCTGCAAAAGGAAAATTCGATTCTTCCTGCAATTTTTGCAAAAGCTTTCTAATTGTGGGGACGAGTTTGAATTCGAGATAAAATCTATTTATCAAATTCCTGACCACTTCGAAAAAGTCGTTGAGCTTTTCGACAGCAGTCTCACGTGGTCGTTTCTTTCCAGAGAGGATATCATTTTATCGGGGTTAGTTTTCAGCCTTTTTTTTATCTTCTGTGTGAATTTTTTTATAGCCGATACGCTAACTCCGGTATAAAGAAATATCCGCTCAAGTTTACGTTTAAGCGGCAACTCAAGCGAACTCTCTGTAGCTTCTTCATCGCAAACCCTATTATGAACACAAGGAAATACACCAAATGAGATTTCATCCACGTTATTATTAACTTACCTATATAAATTAGCTATTATTTCTCTTGTCTGACTATGTAGCGTCTTACCCTTAACAAATTTATTCGTTTTAAAACACAAATATACGATCAAACTTGATATTAATAATTAAAAACTACGAACGAAAAACATTATAACAAGATAACAAAACAATAAAACACAACTTAACTATCAAATATACTAAAAATATAGGAATAAAGTTTAGGATAACCGGTATAAAATAATGAAATAAAGTAATAATGATCAAAAAAATGACACCGCCACTGGATATTTCAATAGTATTCAATATTCCTACTCTTTTCAGAAGAGACCGTGAAGTTGGGGATAAAGCAAGCGAATAGGAAAGGCGTAAAAGCCATGGCAACCGCGTGGTAACAAATCCTGTACGTAGTCTCGCCAATCATGTTCGATGAATAGGCGGCCATGCGCGGCGATGCCGGTTTGCCAATGATATCGTTGAAAAATCTTCAACTTTCATAATAAGCAGATTATACAGAATGAAAGAAATAAGTTATTAAATAAAACATATCGAACAATATGAACTACGTTAAAATTCCTTAGTAATATTCGTCAGAATATATGCTAAACAGATTATATATAATAAAAATATATTAAATTTATAGTTCATGTCTGGCAATTTTGCAATTTTATAGATAAACGTGGCAATATCGATTTTTTTTTCTCGCATTCCTTCCGCAGCTTCAGATCCGCTGGTCAAACAGTAGGTCGCATTTCGTCGCCCAACTTTGTCGCATTTCGATTTATTTCCAGTTGTCTTGATCCAC